GACAGACAGACAGACAGACAGAGAGGATGCGGGGGGGGGGAGGGCTGGGGATTGAACCTACAGCTTTGCACACCCTAGGCTGGTAGTACTCTGTCACTGAACTACATCCTCAACCCTCGTTTACTCTTTGTTTGGTTGGGGTTTTTTTTAGACAAGTTCTTGCTAAGTTTCCTAAACTAGGTTTAAACTTATTCTGTGGCCTAGGCTGACCTTGCATTTGTGGTTTTCCTTCCTCAGCTTCCTGAGAAGATGGAATTATAGACCTACATTGTCATACTGGGCTTTCGTCACAATTTAAATGGGCATTTTGTTCTTTTAAAAGTAGAGATAGCAAAAAATAAAATGTAGACAAATAAAAAATAAAAGTAGAGATAGCAGAACATTGTAGCTCCTATCAGTAATCCCAGCATTTGAAAGGCATGGGCAGGAGGATTGCTGTGAGGTGGAAGCTAGCCTGGGATATATAGTGAATTCCCGACCAGCCTGTCAAAAAAGCAGATATAAGTCAAGCTTTGTGGCACAGTTCTATAATTTCCCCATCTTCCAGGAGACTGAGGCTGGAGGATCATGAGTTCAAGGGTAACCAAAGCTACATAGGGAGACCCTGTCTCAAAGCAAATAAGGACCCCCAGAAATACAGAGATAAATGACATCTGTCAAAGGACTATGCTGCACATTTATCTTCATGATAGAAATGGGATAGCTAAGTGGTTAAAAGTGCTTACCACAAAATCTGACAACCTGAGTTCAGATCCCAAAACCCATTTCATACGTATGACATGTGAATGTCCCTCCAACACACACACACACACACACACACACACACACACACACACACACACACAAATAAATGTAATAAACTTTACATTTACTTGTCTCCATGAAGACTTATTACCCCTTTTGTGTATGCTCCTTGTTTTTCTCCTGGCTGGTGAACTTGTTTACAGGTTTCACCATCTATTTGTACACTGACTTTCTTTAGTCAAAGACTATTAAGGTTTGAATCTGAAATGTCCCCTAAGGATCCATGTTGTGAAGGTTCAGGTCTTTGACAGAAATTTTGATTCCTGTAGTTTCTTAGAAATGGAGACTGGATAGTACCCGGGAGTGAGACTTTGAAGGTTATGCCTACTTTTGGTTCTCCTCTATCCTCCTGTGCTTCTGGGACAGGACCAACCCTCTACATCAGCCCTGGACTGATCCTCTGCCTTCACTCTGCCGTCTCCATCATAACAGACTGCATTCTCTGAAACCAGGAACCAAGACAAAGCTCTCTTGCCTCCAGTTGTTTTTAGTCAGGCATTTTGATCATAGTGACTCATTAAGAAACTAATGCAAGGCCTGGTGGTTTTATAATATGGAAAGAGAACGTCACTCAGGTGAGCAATAAAAAGGGAGGGAGGGAGCCGCTGGCAGCAAGGCAATACAGGCCACACGCTCCAGCTTTCAGGGATTGCTCAATGTCTGCTTTCCACAGCACACGTGCTGCGACTGTGATGGACCTGGCCTAGTCATGTACAACCTCCCCAACAATGTTGTTTTATTTTATTTTTGAGAAAGGGTTTTCTCTGTGAGTAGTCCTGACTGCCTTGGAACTCACTTCATAGACCAGGCTTGCCTCCAACTCACAGAGAACCACCTGATTCTGCCTCCCCCTGTGCTGGGATTAAAGGCACTAGTATCTGATTGATGTCCTGTTGGAGTCCCAACTCCCATACCTGTAAATGTGCCTTGATGTGCAAACAGGTTCTTTCCAATGTGATCAAGGTAAGGTTAGGGTAGATCACAATTCAGTATGGCTGCTGTCTTTATAAAAAAGGAAGAAACAGGCTTACACTAGGGGACAATATCACAAAGACAGACACATAAGGAGAATGCTGCCAAATGACAGGCAGGGATTGAAGGGACACTTGTACAAGTCAAAGAACGCCCCAAATTGCTGGCGCTATGTGAAGCTGTCCTATGGACCCAGACAAGTTGCTCTCTTAGAGCCCTGGGAGGGAGTATCTGCTTCGGGAACGGTGGCTTGAACTTTTCAGCCTCTAGAGTGCTTCAGTTAGACCTATACTGTTGAATGTTGTAGGCTGAACCCACTGGAGAAAGTCAGTGGATGCGGTCAGAGGTTGAAGAGTGTGTGTCGTGGGGGTAGGATTTTGGCCCCTATTGGGTTGAAATGTCACAAAGAAATGGAAAGTTTTCAGGGGTTGGATGTCAACCACTGAAATAATTTTGACTAATACTGCTTTATTCTAATAAAATACAGTAATTTCTCTAAGTTAAACATTCTTACAAGACATGGTCCTGTAGAAGAAACCTAGCACCTGGTTAATAAGCAGCTACTACAAGGCATGAGCATGACAGACAAAATCATGTTAAAAATCATCACTCTGGATCCTTTTAGGCAGCAACTGACAGCATAGAGGTTTTGTTTTATGTTTTGTTTTGTGTTGTTGTTGTTGTTTTTGTTTTGTTTTGTTTTGTTTTTGTTTTGTTTTGTTTTTTTTGCTTTTTCGAGACAGGGTTTCTCTGTGTTGCTTTGGAGGCTGTCCTGGAACTCCCTCTGTAGACCAAGCTGGCCTCAAACTCACAGAGATCCACCTGCCTCTGCCTCAGGAGTGCTGGGGTTAAAGGCGTGCGCCACCAACACCCAGCTGTGTTGTTTTAAAACTCACATCAACACCCAGACATATTGTGCAGAGCATACTTGTGTTTCCCTAATCAGATTGAAACACTGTAAAGTGAAATTCTTTTAGGGCTGTTTTTCCATGCTTGGAATTATTTTGTATTAAAGCTGGGGAAAACAGGCCTCATGACATGCAGAGCCAAGTTATGAATCAGTGCACCTCATAAAAGAAAAGAAAAATCCGAATTATAGGCAGCCTGGTAAATTCATGGTCCTTCAGTCTAGGAAGTGTGGCAGCCAGGAAATATCAACAGGCTCTTCAGGAAGAAGGGCCCTAATCCACCCTAATAGCCCAACCTTACCTTGATCACATTGGAAAGAACCTGTTTCCACATCAAGGCACATTTACAGGTATGGGAGTTGGGACGAACAGGACATCAATCAGATACTAGTGTCCTCAGTAGAAGCTGTATAGTTGCCGCCAGCAGTGGCGTATGCCTTCAATCCTAGCACTGGGGGGGGGGGCAGAATCAGATGGATCTCAATTTCCTGGTTCTCCACCCCCAATGAGGCCAACTCTAATATCATCTCTCACATGTGCCAGAGTGCAATCAAGTTCTTTCTGGAGGGAGTTACAAGGAAAAGTGATGTAGTCATGACCCTGAACATTTAATAACCATGTCTGACACATACTGTGGTGTCTGAATATTTCTTGTGAGTAGGAGACAGGGGAGAGAAATGAATTGGACAAACTCATAACTAGATAAGAAATGCAAATGTACTAGATCCAGTCTGTTGTAGGGTGCTCCCTGGAGCCCTGTGCAGAAAGGACTGTGAGGCTCCTCTTGCAGGGTGTGCATTGGGAAGAAGGGTTGTGTGTTCACCACAGCGTCCTTCTCTCCCTCAGCATCATATTACATTAGGGATGTAAAAATGGGAAATTACTGGAAGCAAGCAATGAGTTAGCCTTCTGAAACCACCGAGCCTCAGCACAGTTTGGAGCAGTGTCCTTTGCATACAGAGAACAGAGGCAAAGCTCCAGGAAGGTGGAATGAGAGCTGGAAGACTGGATGTGTCTGGACTTGGCTGAGCTGTGCTGTGCTGAGAGTCGGAGCTGCTTGGTTATTTGTTTTCTTGTTTTTGTTTTTTGGAGCAGGGTATGGGCTCTACCACCAGCCCTCCCACTGCATATTTTGACACAGTTTTGCCAAGTTCATTAGCTTGGCTTTAAATTCTCTCTAAACACAGGCCTTGAACTTCCAACATCCTTCCTTAGCCTCCAATAGCTTTACCCCCAGACCTGGCTCTTTTTTCTTTCTTTAGGATAATATTTGAAATTTTTGATGTCATATTTTTATATATAGTCATATGAATTAATTTTATAGTCATATGAATTAATTTTGTGGTATCACAGATGAGTCCTGAGACATTTGGGTAATTTTACTATCTGTGGTCCTTGGACTGGGACTTAATTTGCTGTGTAAGGAACACAGCAACGGTGCTCACATAGTCTAAAGATGAGGTTCCCTTTAACTCATTAGTACAAGGACAATCAGGAATTTGTCTCATTAGCTTAGAATCCAAACTTAAAGGCCTAGCTGGGTCAAGCAGGAAGTATGAAATATGTGATTAGGATAGTCAGTGAGTTCACACAGCATAGTGGAGGGCTTAATATAAGGGCCATGCACTTACACCACTTACACACACACACACACACACACACACACACACACACACAATGTAAAAATCATACCAGCCCCAGTGTAGGGGTATATGTCTTTAATTCTCAGCATTTTGAAGGCTGAAGCAGGATCTCTGTGAATCAAGGCCAGCCTGGTCTACACAGTATAAGTTCCAGGAGAGCCAGGGCTATGTAGAGAGACCCTGTCTCTAATTAATTAATTAAAATTTATTTATATATAACTTTTATTATATATTATACATAATATATAGTTTTTTTCAAGATCTCCCATATTCTGGATTGGCCTTGAACACCTATGTAACCAAGAATGGTCTTGAATTTCTGATCCTGTTGCCACTGCCTTTCAGATGCTGGAATTACAGGATTGTCCCACCATATCTGACCAAGTCTGGGGGATGAACTGGGTGTGATAGAGCAAGGCTTTAACCCGAGGACTCAGAAGGTAGAGGAAAGTGAATCACTTTGAGTTCCAGTCCAGTCCCTTCTACATAGCAAGTCTCAGGTTAACTAAGGCTTCATAGTGAGACCTTGTGTGAAGGAAGGAAGGAAGGAAGGAAGGAAGGAAGGAAGGAAGGAGGAAGGAAGGAAGGAAGGAAGGAAGGAGGAAGGAAGATCTAGTTACCATTGCTTTATCATTGATAATAAAATAATGACAGCTAGAGCTAACACACTTACTTATCGTGTCTCCCGAACTTTTCTCTGTTCTCTGTAGGTTCATTTACAGCTGCTTTGTGCCAGGCCTGATGCTGGGGTGTGATAATCCGTGTCCCAGCTCCTCCTTCCCTGGCATCCTGATTCTGGGAGGGCCCAGCTGCAGGTACAGCAGATAAGCACCATGTGGTGTCAGTTCTCGCTCTCATTTTTGTTTTATAGGTAAAATAATAAAGGAGGAGGTGAGAATCTGCAAGTCAGGAGTAGACAGCAAGCAGAAACATGGCTTCTAATCTTCTCATCAAAAACATGCACATAATTAATGCACCAAGTTTGCCAAGAAACCCTGCCTCCCTGGGTCCAGTCCCAGCTCGCTTTGGCTGGCTGCCAGACTGCAGTTGGCAACTGGGTACTTAAGCCTAGTGCATGGTAATAGCACTCTTAAGAGTTCTTTTTGTTCACAGGCAGGATATATTCTGAAAACAGTAGCTCATTTTGAGGAAAGTTGTCAGTATTTTCCATAAAATTAAAACTAGTCAATTGTTGAATTGTTTAAAAAGTGTCCTCTGAACCTGGCCAGGCAGAGGTGGCACACTCCTATGACCCCAGAACTTAGGGGGCAGAGGCAGGCAGATCTCTGTGAGTTCAAGATCAGCTTGGTCTACAACTAGAGTTCCAGGACAACCAGAGCTGTTACACAGAGAGACCCTGTCTTGAAAAATTGCCTAACTACGACGATTTTTTTCCTCTGAGATAAGATCTCCTATAACCTGGATTGGCTTTGAACATCTATGTAGCCAAAAATGGCCTTGAATTTCTGATCCTGTCTCCTGTCAGGTGCTAGGATTACAGGAGTGTACCACCATTATCCGACCACATCATGGGAATGACTCCATGGCCTTACACAAGCCTGATAACCCCAGTTTGATCTCTAATACTCTCGTTTTTTTGTTAAAGAAAGCCAGATGGGTGTGTGTGTATGCATGCTAAGAAAAGTGTTCTCAGCTAGGTAGTTATAAAATTAAGATATCAATAAATTCTGAGAAATGTTAAGATATTCTATACACTGTAGTTTCAGACATTTTGTCAAGTTTTGTTTGGGTTATTTATTTGTGGTACTGGGAGTTGAACCTATATGTGTGTGCTAGGAAGGCATTCTACTAATGAGTTGTGTCTCCTTCGGTCTTTTGAGACAAGGTCTCACTAGGTTGCTCAAGCTGGTCCTGAACTTACTTTACAGCCCTGGCAGGCCTTGAACTTGTGATCCTTCTGCCTCAGCCTTCCAAGTAACTAGGATTGTGCTGTCATGTCTGGCCAATATTCAATTCTTTGGGTTTTTGTTTGTTTATTTGTTTGTTTTGATACTTGTTGTGTTTTGTTTTGAGATAGAGTTTCTGGAATTCTCTATGTAGGTCCCAAACTCACAGAGATTCACCTGTCTCTGGATTGCTGGGATTAAAGGCATGTGCCACTATGCTCTGCACAATCTTCATGTAAAAATAAACAAATTTTCATTTGTCTTTAATAAATAGTGAAACTGTATGTATACTAAAGAGTTACCTTCAATAAATTACTTATGATTTATTGCTAATACATTTTTATTTGTATACCAATTTTACTTTATTTATTTATTGGTTTTTTTTTTTTTTGAAGCAAGGTCTTTCTGTGTATCCCTCTCTGTCCTGGAACTCCTCTGTAGACTAGACTGACCTCAAACCTGCCTCTGCCTCCAGAGTGCGGGTATTAAAGGTGTCTGTCATGACCGCCCAGCTTTTATTTTATTTTTTAAGGAGGGATTTATTTTGGCTGGAAGTTTGAGGGGATACAGCCCCTGATAGTAGAAAGCCATGGGTAGGTGGCCCCATGGTGGTGGAAGTATGTGACTCTCTCCTCCCTACACATTGGCAGAACCTGTTCACCTATTTTATACTCCAGGTCTTGTAAAACTCTCCAGTAAAAAGGGGTCATGAGCGTTACAAGTTCAAGAGGCCTTGGCCAATGAGATGCATTCCACAGTGCAGGCTATGATTTAGGACTGACTCCCTTGGAGTAGCTGGGCCACTGAGAGGTACACAAACCACATAACTGATAACGTGGAGAATGATAAATATGCTGATAGTAGAACTATAGTGGAATGTGGAGCAAAAGATAAGCATCAGTCTTTTATCTAAGCCATAATGTTTCTAGGAAAACAAATGCATACAGAACAAAGCCGACAGTAGCTATAACCTCCAAGGGAGAAAAAAAAAAACCACACACCCCACACATGAAAAATCAGTATTTGTGACAAAAATACAGATTTTTGATATTAAACTCACTAAGATAGTAGTTACAAAGGTCACTAACAACGGTAGGAGCAGTAATTGGTGTTTTGTTTAAAATTAATGTCAATATTTTTACATTAAAATGCATATGAGAAATTAAATCAAATAAATTTCAGTAACCTCAAAGTGGAGCAGTTTATCAACAAACAGCCTAACTCTACCTCTAGGAGCTTAATTAAGAAAGTAAACGGGCTCTGGAATTCTCTGTCAAAATTCATTAGTAGCAATAACTCTTTTACTGAAGATTTATATTTATAATGTCACAGATGGTGATGGGAGGAACAGAAATCTAGATCTAGTTCCTAAACTTGTTGCACCTGCTGAGTAGCCTGCATCCGAAGAATGTAGCGAGGTGGTCGGGATAGATGACACAGAGACCGGTCGGTTGTGTTAAGAAAACTTTATGCTCCCCAAGTCGGCTTAGGAGAACCCCCAAGAAAAAACGCTTCCCTTTTTTAAAGACTTCTGCCATCCATACACATACAATTCTCCAACCGAGCTCTCACACACCTCTCACAGCTCTCCCAGACTTCTCACCCTCCTGGCTGGTGGTTAAATCTCTGGGCACCAGAATTGGGAAGAAACCGCAGGGAGCAGGAAGAAGCATCTAGCCGTAGGGGGGATCAAAGTCATGGTGTTTCAGTGAGCGAGCCCTTATCGGAGCCCTACCAAGAGCTTTATGGCACTGAATTGTTTTCAGTAAACATGTTTTCAGTAAACATTGTCTTACAGCTGCCTACTCCCAGGCCGAAGGGGAAGTGGGTCTCTGTTCAAGGTCTGATGTCCCCACATAAACTGAGAACTTTTCCCATGAACCCATCTAAAAATGAACATGCAAAACGAGATTACGTACTTAATTCCAGACAGCTGAGAATACATTTCATTATTTAATCAAATAAAATAGCAAATGATAAGTATTTTTGTGAAATTTAAAATGCTCTGTGCCCTTTTGGTGATAATAAAGTTAATCTTTGAATTAATCTCATTAGGAATGTGTTTGAGGAATTACAGCATCCCTCACATGGGGTGGGAGCGAGAGGAGGGAACACACTGCCAAGTCTTGTTTTAGAACCTTCGGTGGCAGCACTAGGACCCTGACTGGCATGAATGGTGCTGTCAAAGAGCTTCTAGACATGACTATAAAATAGCATTTCCAGGAATCCCTTCTTGACCTGTGTGGGTTCAGGTTTCTTTGAAAATCATCTCTTGTTGCTGGCTAGTTATCTTGCAGAAATCCTTCTGTTTCTGGCCATAGACCATCAGTCAAATGTATATGCAGTTACCCCTCAGAGTCTGTAGGGGGTTCATCACAGGACTTAACTTGAATACCAAAATGCTCAGGTTCCTTATATGATTAATATAATATCTTCATATAACTAATTCATAACCCATTTTTTAAAAAAAGTTACTTTAGGTTTGTTTTGTGTGTGCGTGTGTGCGTGTGTGTGTGTGCGCGTGTGTTAATCCATGTATGTTTTTGTAAGCACCACATGTGTATCTAGTGCCCTTGGAAGACAGAAGAGGGCACTGGAGACCCTGAACTGGAGTTATGGAAGGTTTGGAGCTGCCATGTGGGTGCTGGGTATAAAGAACAAGCACTTTTGTTTTGTTTTGTTTTGTTTCTGGTTTTTTGAGACAGGGTTTCTCTGTATTGTTTTGGAGGCTGTCCTGGAACTTGCTCTGTATACCAGGCTGGTCTCAAACTCACAGAGATCTGCCTGCCTCTGCCTCCTGAGTGCTGGGATTAAAGGCGTGAGCCACCAAAGCCCGGCATAACTTTATTCTTAAATCATCTCTTAGTTTCTTACCTAATACAATGAAAATGCTTCATAAGTATTTGCTATTCTGTATTAGTTAGAAAAGAGAAAACATGCCGGGCATTGGTGGTGCACGCCTTTAATCCCAGCACTCTGGAGGCAGAGGCAGAGGCAGGGAGATCTCTGTGAGTTCGACGCCAGCCTGGTCTACAGAGCAAGTTCCAGAGAACTGTATTCCAAAGAAATCCTGTCTCTAAACCCCCCCTCAAAGAGAGAGAGAGAGAGAGAGAGAGAGAGAGAGAGAGAGAGAGAGAGAGAGAGAGAGAGAGAACATTCATCAATGTTTTCCTAGTTCTCATTTGTGATGGTTTGAATCTGCCAATGTGGAACTCAAGGATATATGGGGCCAACCCATTTTTGTTACAATTTTGAGACAAGGTTTTGTTCTGAATTCTAGTTGGTTTGGTATCCACTAGGCAGCCAAGGCTAGCCTCAAACTCGTAGCAATCCTGACTTAACTTCCAGAATTCTGGAACTATAGATCTGCAGCAGACCCAGATGTTTTTTATTATTTCAAGAGGATTTTGGGAGGGGCATGGATTAGGTCTACCATCTTTAGCCATAAATATTCCACAATAGTAGCTTGATGGGGATTACAGATGAACAGAGATCTACTATATAAACATTTAAAGGAAGTAGACTTTTGAAAGACTTCATCACTCAAGTATGACTAACAACAGAGAAATGAAATCAACAGCAAGCGATTAGCGGCTGTATAGCTCTGGACCTTCAATAGCACCTTCAAAGGAAAAGGTGGTTTTGTTTGATGTTTACTATTGCAATTGAAGTGAAATCCAGTTACACAATCTTACATTAGAAGTTACCTAGTGGTTGATTTGGAGCTGATTTGGGTTGGGCTGGAGGGAAATGAGACAGAGAGACACAGACACAGAGACATAGAGACCTTAAAAGGGAAGAAGGGTAGTTTTGAAAAACTACGAACAACTCTGGAGAGGGAGGGTCTCTCTGGTTTGTTTATTTATAATAAGTAATTTATTTCGTGTTTGTGTCTCTTCTGCCCTGTGGGTTTCAGGGGTTGAATGCCGGTTGTCAAGCTTGGTGGACAGTGCTTTTAACCACTGAATTATCTCGGGGCCCTTGTTTCAGCTTTACCCACTTTTTTGTTTCGATTTGCAAGACAGTT